GATACTTCTGACTCTTAAGTCATAATCTGACATCTGATGACCATGTGACATAATTAGGGTCAGTTAACTTGTCAATGGATAAGTGCACATTGACATAGTTAGTGTAGATGGAAGGATCAGACGCAGTACTGACAGAATTGGAAGTACTAAAAGGAGCGGAAGAACTCATAAAGGACGGAGGCGATAGTGACAACAGCGTGAACCAGTACACCAGGTAAGTTCCCAGGAAAGAGAGGTGCGTCACTAATGGACACGCTTAAATACCAAGTCTTTCCTTGTCAAAACTTTCCTAGACATGCACTTTTACACTATCAAATAACCGACAGCGATAGCGGCGGTGATGGCGGCTTCAATAGTGGTCAAAGGTGAAAAAAAAATTCAAAATAACCTTAAACTCTATATACCATGTTGAATATAGAAGAAATAGAGTTTGTGATTAATCTCCCTTGTATATAAATCACACATAGGGTAGTCTATTTATAGTAGAGAGATACAACTAAAAGAGTAACTGAAAGTAACAGAATAAACAGAAGATATTATTTTATATTATGGTTAATATCTAACAATATCTTAACAATATTAAATAATATCTAAACAATATCTAACAACTTACACCTAAATTTTTAAAAATTCCAACTCTAAAACTTAAAACCTAAATTTTAAAAATTTATTTTTTCAATAGTCAAGAGTCACTCGAAAACTATAATTCATTTGTATGATATTAAATATTATGGAAGACATTCTTCCATTTTATGATATGTTTCATTTTTGCTTTTAATTATACATTTCTTAAAATTTAGTTTTCTTAATTTAATAGTCTTTTAATAAAACTTAATTAATTAAAAACAAACACGCATAAACTAACTACATTCGTTTTGCAGGGCAATGTTATAAATACATGATGGACCACGTGATTTATTTTTATATCTAATTATTGTCACATTTAATTTATAATCCCTCAACATCTTCTTTAATTTACTCCTATTTTTCTTTTACAAAATTTCATGTATTTCTATGTGAGCGTGAAAGTGAAATAAGATAGGGTCATTATTTCTAATGAATAAGTATTTACCTTTCCTCCTTTGTAAAGTAACATAGACTTTGGGTCTATAATTGTTGTCTTATATTTTTCATCATAGCTAGTTATTTTTTTTTTACTGAAATTTAGTTGATCATTATTATTTATTATTTAAGCTAAAAAATTTCATTCAAGAAAATATTTACATTTCCATTTAAACTCGATTATAGTTTTTTTATTTATTTATAATCAACTAATTGAAACCCTAATTAACATACTTATGAAACCCAATCATGTCAAGTGTGTTTAACTTTATTCCATGCATCTCATACAATAAAAAAAGTGATATATTTGCAATAAACTAAAAGAATCCTAATTAACATACTTATGAAGCTTAATTATGTCAACTGTGTTTAACTTTATTCCATGCATCTCTTGTAATAAAGAGAATTATATATTATAAAGATGATTAATCACTTTATCTAAGTAGATTTAAAAGTTTTATCATCCCCTAATATTAATATATATATATATATATATATATATATATATATATATATATATATATATGCCCAATAAATAGCGGAAATATAAAAGTTTTACATTTTATAATAGAACCAAATATTTAAGTCCAATTAATTTAAGTTCTCTCTTGTGTTTTTTTTTTTAATTTATTCCATGCCTTAATTAAGCCTTAATTAAAAATAGAATAGTATTGACCCCAAATAACATAGGTGAAAATCCATTTATGTAAAAAAATAAAAATAACAATTAGATCAAGTGATTCAATTATATGCATCATTACTCAATAATTTCTACTACATTAAACTAAAGATCTCTACTATAATATTTTTAATTGTAGTCTGGTTAATTAATTATACTTGTATCATGATGCATTATGCTATATATAAGCTTCTCTCACATAGGGCAAAAAGGCTATGTATAACATTTAGTTGTGTACAATATCAAAATATGTGTATAAAACTAATTATGATTTTTGTACTTGTTTTTTTTTATTATTATTAAATAATTAATACCTCATGCCGAGATTGTGTTATATGGGAATCAATGCTATATAATACAAAGTATTATATTTTCTAATTTTTTCAAATGTTTAAAATTTAAATCATGAGAATGTCTTCTTTTTAACTTTATGTGTGATGTTATACAATGTATAAATTCAAGAGGTAGGTTAAATTAGTTTATTTTGATAAAAAATAAAAAACACTTATTTTTTTTAAGATCTAAAAAATAATATTATTTACAAAAATTTACAATCACTGGCCTACAACGTATTTGTAATTTCTGGTGGAAAAATAAATTATAAAATAAGCTGAGTTTTGATGGAGATGAAAAGTTTACTCATAATGATTATAAATTGTTAATATCTAGCACACTACTTATTATATACATTAAAACAAGATGATTTATTTTGGACCTACATATTATTACCTTTCCATAAATTTAATACCTTTTCAAAATCCTTTAACTTTACTCACTCACTACTCCACACAAACTAAAATGTAAAATATAAAATATGATTACAGAGAGAGTTATGTTGCTGCACAAGTAAATTTTATTTACACATACATACATATATATATATATATATATATATATATATATATATATATATATATATATATATATATATATATATATATATATATATGACACATGTGAAAATCTTTTATATATTTAGCTTGGTATTTTAGTATAACTTTGGGGTGCTTAACATTTTTTTCATACATTGTTATAAGAAAATTTATAATCTAAAAAAAAAATACGCATATAGATTATATTTAAAGGTTTTAATTTTTATATTATAAAAATCTTGAGCTATTCTTTCATTTTATAATATAAAAATTATATTTTAAAAAAAATCAAGATTTTAATATATTTTTAACTATTAGGTGAAATAAAAAAGTTAATCATTAATATATATATATATATATATAGAAATTAAAAAAATATATACTTTAATTTTTTTAATAAGAAATAGTATTTTCTAATTAGTAATTTTTTGGTAAAGAAAAAAAAAGACAGTATTTTTCTTCCACTACCCATTCCCATAAAACAAAACAAGTGCTAAATCTCAAGTCAAAGAAGAATAAAATATATTGTAAGATAACTTATTTACAAATACAAATAATTATAAAAAATAATGCAGCTACTTTTGAAGTTACTTTTCTATAAAAGTAAATTAGACAAAGAATTAATAGTTGATTTGTTAATTGAACTCAAGTCTACAACATAGGTGTAATAAAGATGTCGAATTTTTTAATTGAACTCCACTCTTAATTAGGTCACTATCCCTATTTCTATTAAAGCATTTCATCATTCACATCATTGTTCCCTCTTTTGTTTTACATCCACGTCTTTTAAAACATATTCTTACAGTATATAGTAATATATACACCATCACTGTAAAAAAATAAAATATTTTATTATATAATTTATATATATATGACCATCATATTAATTTTGTTTTAGAACAACTTCCAAATTTTCTTTGATTACAAAAATGTAATTTTATAAATAAAAATAACTTAATTGGAGTAGTATATGTTTATATTATTAATAAGCTATTTTTTATATTATTTATTCAATTACATCAAATAAGAGCAAAATTTCAAAAGCCTGCTTTTGAGAAGGAGTAAATATATTATATATAAAAATAAGTTTTTATATCAATATATCTTTTTTTTTTAAATTCTTATGTCTTTTTTTGTCTGAATAAGACATGTAGTATTTATTAATATAATGTGTCAAAATTTTAAAATAATTTTTAATCAGGATTTATTAAAATTATAATAAACTGACCCAGTTTAACTAAAATGAAATCTACATTTAATTTACGTAATGAGTCAAGATTTAAAATCAAATTAAGTTTAAATTAAATACTTATAATTAATAGTATTATTAAAAGTAAATAACTATTATAAATAAAATAAAAGAATGAAATAACCAAGAAAACAATTGCTAAACTTATTTTCATTCAAGAGCTAGGACTATATGATTTATAATATATATTTAAAAACAGTATTTTTAAATCAAGAAAAAACATATAAGAGTTTAAAAAACCCTAAATTACAAAATGCATCTTAAAATAATATATCTTTCTCTTATTTATTAATCAATAAACCAATATAATATAAGAAATTAAACACGGAAACATGCCCAATTAATGAATGCTTTTTAAAATTTAGTAGAAATTGAGTTCATTAAATTAATCTAATTTGGTAAAAGCTAAAGAAAGTTGATTTTGACTGATGAATAAAAATCCAATACAAGAAAGCAAAACATGAATCAACATTGATCCTGATTATTTAAAAATCAATTTATTAAGATCGATTGGAGTCACGATGCTGATTTCCTGGGGCTATACAATGTGTTAAAAGGAGAAAAGCTTCAAGGAACATTTTATTTTATTTTTTTCTAAAAGGAGTAAAAGTGAACTTTAAATTTCTTAGAAGAAAAAAATATTTTATATTTATCATGAAATATGTTAATTTTATTCAATCTAAAAACTTATTCATTTCACATAACTTTGTATTGTGCTGTAAGTTGCTTGGTAAGTATATATAAAAATAAAAATCCGGCGCCAATCTTGGGCCTTCCTTATTCTGCATGTGAGGCCCATACTCTATGCTTTCAACTTTTTCTGTGTTTTATTATTGTTATTAATTGGTTGTTTTGCTAGTTATAACTCATCTTTGTAATCTATATGGAAGAAAAAGGAGGCTATAGATAATAGAATATAGAATAAGGAGACATATAATAATATAATTGGGAAGAGTTTCTCTTCCTTTGTCCATATATATTAACTCTCTTGTCTCTGGTTTTAGCTATCACACAGACACAATCGCCCACCACCATTTACACACATCACATTATATATATTCTTCACTCTCTTCCGTCATTTAGTTCATCTTCTTCAAAGCTAAAACCGCTTCATACTTCACACCTTTTTATTGCTGCCATGGGAGACAATGTTGTAGTGTCCAACATGGAGCTTGAGAGGTTGCTTAGCATGAAAGGAGGCAAAGGAGAGGGAAGTTATGCCAACAATTCCCAAGCTCAGGTACCCTTTATCCCCCTTCTCTCTTCTCTCCATTTTACCAACAAAATCACCCTCCAAAACTCTCCTTTCTCATACATATATTTATATATACACATTCACTGCAACAAATAATGTACCAACTGATAATTAAGTGTTAACCATACAATGATACGTAAATAATCATGATTAGTTTTAGGACAAAACTTACATGCAAATGTTAATATTGTTCTTTAGTTGCCATTAAAGTTTTATCACTTATTAAGGTCTCCTTATACTCATAAATGTTATATAGAATGATGACAAGTTTATGTGAATTTTATGCAGGCCATACATGCCAAGTCCATGCATCACCTTCTCAAAGAAGCCCTAGATGGAGTTCAACTTCAAGACCCTAACATACCATTTGTGGTTGTGGATTTGGGGTGTTCATGTGGAAGCAACACCATCAATGTGGTGGATGTGATCATCAAGCACATCATCAAACGCTACGATGCCTTGGGATTAGACCCTCCTGAGTTTTCAGCCTTCTTCTCAGACCTTCCTAGCAATGACTTCAACACCCTCTTCCAGCTCCTTCCTCCCTTAGCCAACTATGGAGTTAGCATGGAGGAGTGCCTTGCCGCTAACAACCACCGCGCCTACTTCGCCGCCGGCGTCCCTGGCTCCTTCTACCGGAGACTTTTTCCGGCAAGGTTCATTGATGTTTTCCACTCAGCCTTTTCCTTGCATTGGTTATCTCAGGTAATTAACTCTTGTTAATTAAAAGTTGTAACACTTTTTATAACTTTTGATTTATATACTAATGTAAAGATGTTTTGTAATCACCGTATGTATACATTAAACTCGTAAATCTTTCACTTTTTTTCAATTTTCTATTTATTTTTCTTCTGATTGTACGAAAGAATTGTAGGAATAAGACTTTTTGAAAATTGGTAGAATCACTTTTCACCCTCTCTCTCTCTCTCTCTCTCTCTCTCTCTCTCTGCTTTTGGTTTTTTCTCCTCTTGATAAATTTCCATCGGAAAGTTCATTATGCAGGAAAAAGTAATCATGTCAGCCTCCTGTTTTGTTTTTGTTATGTTTGTTTCAAAAGAAAAAGGTAGCATGAATACTTTCATTTTTAATCCTAATTTCTTTCATTAAATTCATCATTTTGTTTTTTAACTTTCTATTCCACCTGAACCATTTAAATAACACAAAATTAATAGTAGTAGATTTCAAATCATGCTCTCTTTCTTTTGCGAAGTTTTTGATAAATTTCTTGAAAATTTTTAGTGAATAACAATTTCCTTAGTTTTCTAAACTACTTTGAACAATTTTCTCCATTTAATGACTTTGAAGGTGTCATTCACACCCCATTAACCCATCAAAGAAACTGTGAAGTATCTATGCAGTAATTTTCTAGACAACATAAAAACAAAACAAAAATATTTGCCATTTCCCGAGGACAACGTTACAAAACTGTTACATGTGTTATGCGCCAAACCCTTATGTATGGTCAAAAGTTGGTGCAACAAAACCATGGTCTTTAAAGACATTATTATTCCAATAACATAATGACGTGTTTGGACTATTTCTGAACGCATAGATAGTAATGAAGCTCATAATTTTATTCAACACCATGCATTTTTATTTTTAAATAATTTATAGCATCTGGGTGGATTTGTTTAACATTTTTCCGACAAAAGTTGCTTTAACATTGAAAACAACTTTGGATCTGAATCAGTTCATGAAGATATAGAAACAAAGATATGAATGTTTACTTAAAATTGGGTCAACGGTATTCCAACATGACTTTAGATGATTCAACACGAATTTAGTATACATGATTTATGATCCACATTCAAATTAAAGTTACTTTAAATATTTTCAGTTTTTTCATATCTAAAAAAGTAGTCTCCAATCAATCAAAGCACCTACTTGTCAGATTATATTTCAACATGAATGACCAATTTTTTTACTATGGTATGGGAGCTAGGTACCAGAATCTGTCATGGACAAGAGGTCAAGTGCATACAACAAGGGGAGGGTGTTCATCCATGGTGCTAGTGAGATCACAGCAAATGCTTACAGAAAACAATTCCAAGCAGACTTGGCAGGGTTCTTGAGCTCAAGATCTTTGGAATTGAAGAGAGGGGGGTCCATGTTCTTGGTTTGCTTAGGCAGAACTTCTGTGGACCCCACAGACCAGGGTGGTGCTGGTCTCCTATTTGGCACCCACTTTCAGGATGCTTGGGATGATCTTGTGCAAGAGGTATTATCATATTCTCAACATTTTTATTCGAGCTTGTGTCAAAATAGTGCACATCAGAACCTATTACTCTAACACATTTTTCATTGGAAGACCAAAAAGAACCTTTAGACACATTAGGGGAGATAATGAGAAAAAACAAAGTCAAAAAACATAAACAATCAATTGTTGTAGGCGTCACAATAATGTGATAGCTTATTATTGTCAATTTTTCACTTCACTTGTAATGATTCAAACAAGTTTGTTTATCTCAGCCGTTTGATGGTCACCCCAAGTTGATCAAGCTATCCATTGCTTTCATCATCATGTCCGCAGAAATAATAATTAGCTGCTGGCTACCATAATATTAACCAACAATTAGGTTTTGGATGTTTAGAACACTCAGAATCATAATCGTTGCATAAAGCAAGACAACAAGGATATGTTTCCATTCATCTCATCTATTTTTATGTAATGATTTGTATGTGTATATTGATTAGACCAAAGACCAAACTCATGTTATATTATACATCCAACCACTATCATAATATGTCAGTATCCAATACTATATTGTTCGGAGTGTTCTGTTTTCTTAAACCTTTTAACCAATTAAAGGATATAATATCTTCTTTTATGTATTGAAATTGACACATATTATGAGATTCTATTTTCTTTCATTCTCTTAATAAAATATCATTATACTAATGTAATATTAAGTAGGATTCGAATATTATAAAACCATTATAATCTCTTGGTAATCTAATTAATTACTAATATTTGCACAAATTTGAATATTTTATCTTACAAAAAAAGTCACAATTCTTTTTTTCAAACATAGAATGAACATATTTCATATTTGGAAGTTGGTGTATGGTGCATGGACTTAATCATATATTCTTATCACAGGGATTGATTAGCAGTGAGAAAAGAGACAGTTTCAACATTCCAGTTTATGCACCAAGTTTGCAAGACTTCAAGGAGGTGGTTGAAGCTGATGGTTCATTTGCCATAAACAAGCTTGAGGTGTTCAAAGGGGGAAGCCCTCTTGTGGTGAACCAGCCAGGTGATGCTAGTGAAGTAGGAAAGGCCCTTGCCAACACCTGCAGGAGTGTGTCCGGTGTCCTTGTTGATGCTCACATTGGTGAAAAGCTTAGTGAGGAACTGTTTCTGAGAGTGGAACGTAGAGCCACAAGTCATGGCAAAGAGTTATTAGAGCAACTACAGTTCTTTCACATAGTTGCATCCCTTTCTTTTGCTCTATGATAATAAGAGAATAAGAAGAAAAAGGCCCTTTGGACATAACAAGAGGACAAGGAAAAGGGGCTTATCTAGTTCCTTTATTATCCTCTTTTTCTTTTTGTGTGCTGTTTTTTTCACTTTTTATTGCATAGGAAGAGTCAAAGCACCCATGAGACAGACAGAAAGGAGGGTTCAACACTTGCTACCTCTATTTTTCTCCCTCTTATGAGTGTTTTTGTGTGTTCTTGCTGACAGTAGCTACTTTCTGTGTGCTTTTCTGACTTGTGTCCCTTTGGATCTGAACTAAAGCTTTGTTAACGGCTGATCATAATGTGGATGTACATGTCCATATTTTGTGAAAGTAGCATAAATGGAGTTGTGTGTCTTGTCTTCTGTACCTAACATACTAAAGTTTGGAATATGCCATTTGATGAATGATGAGTCACCTCTTCTTTTCTTCTGTGTTTTATCAGTTTACACTACACTGTCAATTACACAAGAGGCAATAACTAATTATATGAGATTGCAAGAAGTGATAAAAGTTAATCTTATCAGGGGTAAGAATGACATAGGTCAAAATTATCTCTTCTCATTCTTTCATGTGTCAAAAAAATGTATCAGATGAGAGCGCAAAAAAGCTAATCTTTACATATAACAAAGGTGAATTTAAGATCTGGCTCAAGTGAAACCATTTCAATTATCCATGTAAAATTGCATGACTAAGATTAACTCTTATCACAAATTATCTTATGAATGGTTGTATTGTATATGTAGCTTTGCTTTCTACACTAATAATTGGATATGTATTGCTTAGTTAAGTGATGTTATTATTGAAATGTGAAAAGGTGGTTCTCTTTCAAAGGCTTTGAATTTTTCTTTGCTTTCACATTTGCTAGGTAGCTACTGTCTTTACCATCCAGATTATATTAAATCATGTCAACCATGTATTGTGCAACGCTGAGAACAAATCTAATTGCTAGAAACACAAATGGAAACCTCATTAGATGTGAAAACAGAACAACATGACTAGAAATCCTCTTGAAAAAAACAAATAATATCAAGAAAGAAGAAGTAAATTATAAAAAGGAAAACAAATTAAACATAATCCAACTCTTCATTCCTTCTACGCATCTGATAGTGAAAAGTCTCTTTATTAAAACCTTAAAACCCCACGGTAAAGAAAGATTATCATGTCCACACTCCACCAATAGGGCACAACTTCAGGGCACCTTAAGCCTCCAACTTGTGTTCATAGAAGTTAATATGTATTTTTTAACAAATTTGACATTTTACATGCTACAGATAGCTAGCAGTTGCTGAGACAGCAAACACTGTGTCTACTAAATTCACATTCATGTTTAATCAGAAGAAAGAAACTACTGTGTTACATGTCACTCTTTAAAATTCACCACTTGAGTATACAAATAGTATTTGACCCTTCTGTCCATAGTATGTAAAATTTACTACTTTCTTCTCACTTATTTTATATCAAATATCTTGGGTAAAGATTAAACCCCATTTCATTTACTTCAATGGTCAACCTTTTCAACTTTCAAAGGCTTATCCAAACCAAAGAGAAATTTAGTCCAGGAATAACCTCAAGGAAACAGAGGAGATTTGGTGGAACAGAAAAAACATAAGTGATCCCATTTTAAATTATCTATTGATTTGGTTTAAATGTGACGTAAGAGTATTATTGATTTGGTTTATGTATGTAATTAATATGACACACCAGAAACAAGCTTTGAAATGATAACTTCTTCAAAATTACAAGTTCATATTTCATTTCTTTCAAGTAACATTAACTAATATCACCATTTCAAACACGAATTGTATTTTCCAGTGTCAGAAAAACAATCATACTCTCTATAGATACTGAGGGGTGAATGAGAAAAAAATGGATATTGAGGGGTGAGCATTGATGCTTAAAAGTCAAAACCATAATAATACTTTTGTCCACAATGGTTGATTCTGTAAACAACTTTACTTATATATGTAAATACACAAATCAGTAGAGCAATTTGCTCATCCTTATTGTATAAATATATTAAGAGTATTATGGTCCTTCTATGTTTATAGAAACCATGATAACATCAAGTGTGTAAAAAGGGTAGTACTAAATTATCAAATTGATCATGAGTATGAGACTTAGCTGAAAAACTGAAACCTACACCTTATTGGGCAAACAGTCACTAGATAAAACTACCCACCAACATAAGCATATAATATTGTATACAGTGCATTGGTTGACCTAGGTAAGGTGAAAAAAATGAGGTGTCACACTGTCTCAGGTGCGTGAAATTTGTACAGGCTGAAACATAAAGGGTCTGCTCCTCAATATTTCAAAACAAACATTTAATCAATGGCACAATATTTTGATAGTAAGTTAAAAATAGATAACTCTTTGTGGTCCATGGACTGTGGAGATTCCTTAGCTTTTCAGCCTGATATAATGTTCTTTTGTCTTCTGTGCTTTTCATGGACTTTCTGTGGGCTAAAATCTAGAATAAAGAGCCAGGATTCACTTGTGGTCCTCTGCATTAAAAATATTAAAACTCATATGTCATAGCATACATGCAAGTAAACCAAAACTTTAAGCACATAGAAGAAACTCTCGATTGTGAATCGTCGTCAGATAATCAATCATTAATCACTGGATAAAATCATCAACTCTAACTACACCATTTCCCATTGTTATCTGTTAGCTCTACTCTGTGCTTTCTATTTTTCACTCAAAGTTTAAATTGAAAGACTTCAACCATTCCATAATGTTACTAATACATTTTCTTTATGTCATTCTTATTTTTTACATCACTAATTTTAAAGATAATCATTAAAAAAAAAAGCATTCCAACTCATTATCTTTTTATTTTTATTTTCCTGATACAATATAATATTGCAAAGAAGAGTGTTTGTAACATTTTTTATCCTCCAAAACATTTTTTCTAACACATTCTCTCTTGTTGGTGGAAGTGTAGCGAAAGAACCAAAATTCTGAGTAAGATTCATTAAATAAATAAATAGTAAACCCATATGACTCTAATTTACAACTAATAATAAAAAGTGTAAAATAGGATCTTATTATCATTTTTCATCTTATCAATGTATTAAAGGACATTTTGTTCAAAACACGCACTCTTTGACATGTAAAGAAGAAGAAGATTACAGGAAAAAACAAAGTTATATATTCTAATTAATTATCCAAAGATGTATATGCACACATATACATACACATGCACTGTGTATATGCATAAACAATGTCTTCCTTACATTCTAACAATACCAAAACCAATACAAAAATTTGTTGACTACTAATTAACTTAATTATTTGTTATTATGGAATCAAAAGATTTACTCATTAAATAATAATATCATTAGTTCATACAAAACCTTCAGTTTTTTTCTTTAGTACTTGTGATTCTTTAAAGCTCAACGAATGAGTGCACTAATTAGTATTTGATGTTAAAAGAATGTAGAGATGAACTTAAACCATCAAGGTGCAAATTATGAAGTTGTTCAGAAAGGTAAGGGATGAAAACACAAAAAAAGAGGTGATAGGAATGTAGCAGGTCTCTTGTCTCACAAAAGGGTTGGCTTTAAACTTAGCAGAAATGCAAAATAATCCGCATGCAACGTGAAAATGTATCCTGGACCATAAAAGGGGTGATTATATCATGGTTCCCAACGGAAGGTGCAACAGCTTTATTCAAGAAAAGGTCCCCTCAACAAAACTGTCCAGGGAAAAGAAGTCATGAAGAAGCATATCAGAAAATCTTTCTAGTTGGGAAGATTCTGCATATTTTGGATTGATTCAATGAGATGAGTAAGCACCTGAGGTTACATTGGTATCAGAATTTTGGAGGGTAGTTGATTCTTGCCCACTCTTCTAAGAGCCAAAACATGCAACCACTGTCACAATGTCCTAACAGCTACAACATAAGTTCTTGCATTACCCGACATCATCATGAAAAGTGCAAACGCAGACATAACAGAATCATAAACCTCCCTTTCAAGTTGCCAAAATTTGAACACTAAAATCCAAAGGAACTTCCTTCATTTTGTTCACAAAGGAATAAGACAGTAGCTGATAATGTCGTTGTGTATTAAAATGTGTGACTCTCCTTTGAAAATTTTTGAAGGGTTAAGGTTATTAGAAATGGTGAGGTACCATTATCCTTTTCATTATTGTGATGTGGTGTTGTAAGAGTTTAACTTAAATATAGTGTAAAGCCTTTACATACATCTCTAATAAAAAAACTAACCATTATTAGGTTATCTTATGCATTAATATGATGTGGGATAAGGTAAATTACTATTGAATTTCTCAATAGATGAATTAACACAGTTACACAGATAAATGAGATTAATACAGGCTTTGATTTTAATATCAAAATTCTATTCAAGTCATGTTTTACTGAATTTCTCACTTTTTTTACATGCTGAGCTAATTACTATTTTAAAATAATAACATGAAAGTGTTGAAACTCCATTTCCGTTTAAGGTCCATTTTCATTGGCCCATATTTTTAGTTTGTTTCTTCTCACACCCCATATTCATCTAAAATCTAAAATGAGAATATTGATTCCGAAAAATTCATTCTAAAATTTTCCAGTTGACCTTGCTGAAAGAAATGTTTCGGAATCAGTTTTTTGAAAATATATTTCCAAAAGCTAACTCCAGAACGTTTTTGAGAAATTTCCCATGTGAATCCGAAAAAATTCCAAAAAATTGATTCCATAACTCATTTTCATATTATATTTTCTAAACATATATTATAGATTCAACAATTGGTAATACAACTTTGGAAATCAAAATTTGAAAATGAATTCTAGATTATTGAATGGAGAATACATTTCCAAAAAAATATAATTTGAAAATGAGTTTCAGAAAATTCAAAATATATTTTTAGAAAGTACAATTTATAAATGAATTCCAGACTAATCTGAAACTCATTTCTGAATTATACTATTAGAAATGCATTGGTGATCCAATAATTCAAAATATCACAAATGTAAAATCAAATA